TCCAAAAAATCCGCGCAGAGGTCCGAAGCTGTTTTTTACGCAGATGTTCGTTCCCCTGAGGAATTCTCGCCTCGGGATGCTCTGTGGCAACTGCGCCTCGCCGAGTGTATTCCGGTGGTGCCCATGTCGTTCCGAGCGGCCGAGTGCTAGAACATCGCCCTCCAGACCTTTATGCCTGTCTGAACTGCTTACAGTCCAGCTGCATAAGAAGGATGGAAAACCTTCCAACGGTACCCTTGCATCCTTGCCCTCGGCCCATCCTTGGCCACTTTCGCTGGCCGCGCCCCGCTCGGAAAGCATCGAAATGGCCTTCCAAGGCCCTTGCATCCTCATGGTGCGTTCTCATTATACGGGTTGATTGTACGTTCTCGACCAGAATCCAGATGTCGAGGTCCTAGTGCTATCCCTTGGTTGTCCAAAGCAAGGTTAGGGTTTTTCAGGAAGACGGTTATCGGGTTGGGAGGATGGGGTTGGGAGGTGGTCGGAGGTATCGCGCATCGCCTCCGAATGCTATTGCTCGCACTCTTCATCCACACAGGCGCTCCTCCGAGCACGATAACTGTTCTCCTCAGCTGTCGGATATGCCGCGTTTCCGCCTGGAGAGGCGCCCCCGCTCTTCGGACAGCGGCCGCGGCTTCGAGGCGGTGAGCGAGCAGTTGAGCGGCGTCGACCGGCTGCTCAGCGAGATCGGCCGCGGCTCCCGCGGCGGCGCCGCGCCGAGGGCGCACCGCCTGGACTCGCTGGACGAGCTGGAGGACCAGCAGGCCCGCGGCGGAAGCTCAGATGTGGACATCACCACAGAGATCGGCGGTGTGCCTCTTCCGAGGGAGGATGCTCGACGAAGGCAACACGTCATAGACATAAACTCTTGGCGCTCCGCGCGGATTTCTTGGATCCGCGCTGGGGCCCTCCCCGCGGCGCCTCCGGCGCCGCCCCTGTCGCGCTCCGCGCGCCAGGGAGGGGGGTCCAGCGCGGATGCAAGAAATCCGCGCGGAGCGCAAAAAGTTCATGATGTTTTTTGTGTTCTTTTTCTAGATGCTCACGATCTCGGTGAGGGTGGTAATCTTCGGGCTTCCTCCAGGGGGCCAGAAGATGACCTCCGACGCCAGAATCTAGGATCGTCGCCCCCCGGGGGAGGCCCCCCCCCCCCCCCCTGCGTTCGTGGTGGTGCCCTCCTCCGAGCCCCCGAGAAGCGGTGGCAGACAGCCCAGACCACCACTCGTCGTTAGCAGAAACACGACGGCGGCTTTGGGCGTCATTGGCCTGCGGGGGTCCTCGCGGAGACCCCCCCCCCAATCCCAGACCCCCCTTGCGTTGTGAAAAAGCACGGCGGGAGGTTCTCGCTATTGGCGGCCTCCGGGGGTCCTCGCTGGGACCCAGGACTGTCGCAAAACGGCTCGGGATGAAATACTGGTCCCAGGGAGTGGGTCGCTACCTCCAGGGGACCACGTCACGAAAAGATCAGGACGTCGGGGGTCTGGGAACGGGGTCGACTGCGCGGACATTCGCGCAGAAGTTTCCTGCGTAGGGTCGCGCATGAGCGCCCTCTTCTCCACGCGGAGTGCCACGCTGGCTGCACGCGTAAGCCGCGGCGTAAGGTCGCTATGTCTTCCTTAACCCGGAGATCCGATATTGCGAAAGATTTGCGACATCACCAAAATCACGACTGGAGCCCCACACCCAATCTTTTCTGCGGCATTCTTCAAGCCAGATCGATATGGGCTGGTCCCTGGCGAAAAAGCTCGGTGAGACAAAAAGTGAAGCACCCAGATCTCAGGGAAGGCCTTGGGTTGGTCCGCTCGCTTTGCTACCAGTCATCACCTTGAGACCCCCAGCGTAGATGCCTAGGCTCGGCGGCGAGCGAGGGGGGGGAGTGAGAAGGAGAAAGCCTTTGCAGAAGGCTTGGAAGTCTCCTGGCCTTTGGGAAGTTTTCCAAGCCTTCCCCGAAGACGCAAGCCAACCTCTCAGAAGGAGCCAGGGCCTTTTGAGAAGTCCCGCCGCCTCCTGAGACGCCCGTCTCCTCCTCGCTCCCCCCCTCGCTCGCCGCCGATGGGCACCATCGCCGAGGCATGGCCACGCCGTGCCTTCCCGCGTGCGACCCGCTTGGGCTTCTGCGCCCAGGTGGTGGGGCAGGGCGAGGACTGCGGCCCCGACCCCTCCTCGGCGCCGCCGGCGCGGCGCGCCTCTCCGCACGGCGCCGCGCCGCCGGCGCCGCTCGGCCTGCTCGCCCTGGCACAGGCCGCCGTCGTCGGCTCCTGCAGGGAGGCCCCCCCCGGGCCCCCCCGAAGGGGCTCCGAGCAGGCGGGGGGCCGGAGGAGGTCGGTCCGCCTCGACGGTGCACCGACGGTGCGGCTCGACGTGGGGCCCGACCGCCCCCGCGCCGACGGCGCCGAGGCACCGCCCACGCGGCGGGCGCAGCGCCGTTGCACCGGCGCTGCGGCGCGATCCTCCGACCTCGTTTGCTCGGGCCCCATCTGGGAGGCCGTCTAGGCAAAGGCCCCGGAGCCCCTGCGCCACTTCGCCCGCGGGTTCAACACGTGCGCCGAGGGCGTCTGCGCCGAAGTGGACCAGGCTTGGGGTCCCTTGGACTATTTTAGGACCCTGGGAAGCCAGATAAGGCCTGCGTGCGTGAGGCGCGCGTGCGGGGTCGCTGGGCGTTTGTAAGAAGTGTAAGTTGGCGTGCTAGCATGCCAGAACAAATTCTGAGTGGTCCTTTCGGGTGTCGTTGTGTTGCCTCTTCTTTTTTCTGGGTATGCCCAACGAGGTTAGAGCGATGATGTTTGTTTTTTCCGATCTCTGTCCCCATCCTCATCCCACCCCCGATCCCCACCATCCCAACAGCCCAGTCGGGAATACACCCCTCGGAGCCCGAAGGCAACAGCCGACAGCCCCATCTAGAGGGGTAAGTCGGCCAGCGGGGCCCAGGCCACGCCAGTGGGGATAGGGATCGGATCACCGATGCTCATGAAGAGAATAAAAGGGGGAGCCCAAGACCAGGCGCTCCTGGCGCACTGCGTCCAGTCGCGGCGCGTGGCCGACGGCGTGCTCGTGGCGCCCACGCCGTACCCCTCGCGGGTGGAGCCCCGCACGGTCAGCCGTAGCTGGCCCGCGGAGGTGGTCCCGAGGTCTTGGGGCCTCCCAGAGGGGGTCCAGGTGCAGTCAGCGCGGGCACCAAGGGTGAAGCACTTTCCAGGGCTGCCCCTCGCATCCTGGCGCTTCGGCCCATCCTTGGCCACCGTCGCTGGCCGCGCCTCGCTCGAAGTGTGTCGACATGCCCCCCCCCAGGGCCCTTGTATCCTTACCGTGCATCCTTGTAATACGCGTTGACTCTAAGTGGGGTTGGAGGATCGAGCCGCATCGGCGATGCCTGTAGGGCCAAGTCTACATTCTTCTAGAAGACCCATATCTGGGGTCTGTGCCAAAAACACAGTTCTCAGTTTCTAGCCGCAAGCGTCTATGGGCACATTGGGTGTCGTTGCGCACATCGACATTCGGGGCGGATCCGTTAATAGACGGCGCGGCCGTTGCGTTCGACGCAATGCAGGGTCGGAGAAAGGATACATCAACTACGGTGTGTTCCTGTTCTAGAGCAGGTCCCACATGGCACTCCAAGGCGATGCTGCTCGATGTGCACTTCGTTATTCTCCGCGCCGACGTCGCCGATGCGTCGCCGACGTCGCCGATGCATCGCCGATGCATCGGCGATGCGGCGCGATGTGGAGCCCGATGTTCTCCGCGCCGGCGTCGCCGAGACGTCGCCGACGCATCGGCGAGGCGGCGCGGTCCTCCGACCCCTACTGCTCCCGGCCCCAGCCGAGAGGCCTCCTCTCCTATAATGGAGGTCCTGGAGGGACGCGCCTGCGCCCGCAGCGAGCTCGCAGGCGTGCTACTCCCGCCGCCGCGGAGACGTCGGGGCAATGCGCTCTTGTCTTAAGTCGGGCATGTCCCTCTACAAGAGGAATCTTCGAGCATAGTGGAACAATAGTCTGGGGACGATGTTTCGACTATTCTTGATTCTTTTGTGCATCTTTTTGAGGATGCTTCATCTTTCTTCGAACATCCGCCTGTGGGAGGACATGCCCGACCTAATTCTTGTCGCACCGCGGGTTCTCGCCCGGCTTCGGGCCCGGGGGCCGCCTGTGGTTTCAACATGAAGTTGGGCGCGAAATGGGGGGCGACTGATAGGGTGAGGAGAAAGGTGCCCTTAAGGGCCCCCCTCTGGCGACTAAGAGAGTGAGCGACTAATGAGGGAGTGACTAATGGAGGCCCCCTCTGGGGACCTAGAGGGCCCCAGAGAGGGCCCTGAGGGGCGACTTTCTGCAGCCCTCGCTGCCCCCCTCCGTTCATCGCCCCCATTCACAATTCGCGCCCAGTCAGTGTTCGTTATTCCTCAACACTAGCGGTCCCCAGGGTGCCTGGCAATCAAGGTGGTTAAACTGTCCACTTTTCCGTGTCCCGGAGAGAGGGTCGTTGGGGCTGGCTCGAGGGCCTCGTATCTAACATTTCCCCGGCGGTGGGCATGCCCAGACGCGATCCCACTTATCGGCGGATCAGATTCCCAGACGCTATCCCGCGATGCCATGCCGGGACCATCACAGATCGGCGCGGCTCAAAAATTGCAGCAGAAAGAGGGGGTCTAGTGTTAGCGCTTGCGAAATGCAGCAGAAAGAGGGGGTCTAGTGTTAGAAAGTGCAGCAGGAGGGTTTCCGAAGGGTTTTGGTCGGTTTGGGGGGGGACCCGTCATTAGCGAACTTTGGGCTTTCGAAGTCTAGAGCTCCGGCCGTGATATTGCGAAGGCCGCCGACCCTGAAGGGGGACGACGACGACAACGGCGGCGGCGGCGGCGGCGACGACGACGACGACGATGCTGATGTGGGCCAGAGGGATGTCTCTTGGGGTCTCCTCGGAAAGCTTTCGGGGGCCTCTGTGGAGGAATTCTGGGGCCTCTTGGGAGCCTCTTGGGGTCCTCTTGGGAGCCTCTCGGGGCCTCTTGGGCTTCCTGGGCACCTCTTCTTGGCCGGCTCCAGTCGTGCTGTTCCGCGGTGTTGTCATTTGGTGCCGCTTTGCGTCGGATCTCAGAGGCGTACCCCCCCGCCGCGTCGCACGTCCTCGGCCTCAAGGAGACCCTGCAGTTCCTGAGCATCGACTCGTACCACGCGCCCGCGGCGCGCTGGTGCAGCGAGATGGGTGCCGCGTCGATGAGAGAGGTACCGTGGAACAAAGAATTGTGTAAGCACGAATTTCGAGAGGTTCGCGCTGATTCCTCGGATCGGCGCTGGAGCCCCCTGGTGGCGCCTCTGGCGCCGCCTCTTGCGCGCTCACAGCGCCAGGGAGGGGGTCCACCGCCGATCCAAGAAGTCCGCGTGGACCTCCACCAGTTTTTGTTTCTGCAACTGGTTTTCCTTCTGAGGTGGCAGAGCACGTCGAAGAGTTCGCCTCCGCCCTCAGGCTGAGGCCCCTGGAGCTCCAGAGAGTCAGGAGGTGGGCGAAAGAGGAGCTGGCCAAGGACGCTGCGCTTCGACGCCTGTCGGATGGACCTGGGCAAGAGAGGGAAGAGCGCACGGCCTCGGCAAAGGCGCACCGAAGCACGGCCCAGGAGCCGGCCAGGCCATCGCTGGCCGTGCCCGTGCTCGGCATCACGATCGCCAGCGCAGCAGGGCTGAAGGCCTGCGACTGGAACGGGAAGTCCGACCCGTACTGCAAGTGCTGGATCCAGGGCCAGCCAGACTCCGAGTTCCAGACCCCGGCGAGCGACGGAAGAAGAGGGGGGCCACCTGCGCGGACACTCGCGCGCAGGCGTCTCGCGCAGGGTCGCGCGTGAGCGCCCGTCCCTTCTTCTCCGCGCGGTGTGCCACGCGGGCTGCCCGTGTAAGCCGCGGCGTCAGGCCGCTGCAGTACAGAGGGAGATAGTTGCTGGACGCCCCCCCGCCCCCCCACAACCCAACGTTGGCACGCGCGGGGAAGACTGCGGTCGAGGTGCAACTCATCCAACCCACCGCCAACACTGATCATTGGGGGGGGCATTGACACATGAAGGTGGCACGAGTGTTCGCCACTTTCTTCCGAGGCCTGCATGTCTTCTGGCGTAAAACCCTAGGATCCGATGTTGCGAACGAGTTGCAACATCGCCCAGAATCACGACTGGAGCCCTAGAGTTTGTATCTTCTTGAGGCATTTGGGGAGCCCGATTGAGTCCCGGGGCCCGAGATCTTGGGCGAAAAGAAAACGCTCGATGCGAGGAAACAACATGCAACGCCCGATCCCAGGGAATACCTATTTTTAAGTTGGGCATGTCCCACTACAGGAGGAATATTCGAGAATAGTCGAAACGTAGTCTGGGGCCGATTTGCCGATTCTTAGTTCGACTATTTGTTTGAAGAGTTTCGACTATTTTAAAAAATGTCGTCCACAATCCGCCTGTAGGAGGACATGCCCGACTGAAGCCTGTTTTTCTTCCTGGCCGAGGTGGTCAAGAAGGAGCTGAGCCCGGCCTGGAATTACTGGCGCGCGCTCCCAGACGTGCCCGACGTCTGCGCCCTGCAGTTCGAGGTCTGGGACTGGGACAGGTTCACCAAGGACGACCTCAGCCCGAAGAAGAGACCACGGCAGAAGCATACACTCTCGTATAGGTCCGCTGCATCGGCTCGCTCGGGACGTGTGCGTCGTTTCTCTCGGCGAGAGCCTTCCGTGAGCATCTTGGGCCCTTCTGCGGGAAGAACGCGCACGGAACCGAACCGTGCACTGGGAACGGACGTCCGAACGATGGCGAGCTGCTCGGACTCCTAATGGCATCTGCGCTGGACCCTTCCCGCACTGGCGTGCGGGCCAGCGCGCCTGGGGGCGGCGCCGGGGAGGCGCCGCGCGGAGGTTTTCCGGTGCCGCTCCGAGGGCACAGACCCCCGACGTCATGACTTCTCCTCCTCCTCCTCCTCCTCCTCCTCCTCCTCCTCCTCCTCCTCGTCACGTGGACCGACCTCAGTGGGCCCCGGGAACGGCAGGGCCGTTTTCGCACCGTTTCCCAAACAAAATGTCCCGTGAAAGTGGAAGCGGCAACAAAAAACTCGGCGTCCGGAAACGGCAACAAAGACGGCTCCAGGATTTTGGAGCCGGAGCCGGAACCGGTCACAAAACGGCGACGGAGCCGGTAAACAAACGGCGTCGGAACCGGCAACAACAACTGCAAAACGGAGCCGGTAAAAAAACGGCCCCGTCGTTTCCAGGGCCCACTGAGGGATCGACTACATGTGAGAGTGACCTTTCGCCGGAGTGACCTGTGGTGCGCGCCCACTGGGGCCCCCCGATCGCCGAACGCGACGCGGTGGGAGCGTCCTGCGCACTCGTGTGTTTGTCTCCCCGCGGCCCCCCAAAAGGCCGCGCACCACTGCTCACTCTCGCCCAGGGTCACACTTGCGGACCTTATAGACGTCTGGGCTCCATCCCCAGGATCGGCTTCTCATCCCGGGTCGTTTCTGTTGGCGGTCCCGAGGCCTGATTCCGCTGGGCCCTCGCGAAGGCCGAGAGTACAGCGAAGCAGCTTCTCGCCGTGATTGTTTTCAAGGCTTGCGAGCCAGACCCGACGTCGTGATTTTTTCTCACAACGTCGACCCCCAGAGGTCTGGACCCCTTCCCTGGGACCGGTTTTTCGCCCCGAGTCTTTTTGTTGACGGGCCTGGGGCCCGGCGAGGGCCCCCGGGAGGCCGAAAATAGAGAAGAACCTCCCGTCGTGATTTTTTCGCAACGCGAGGAGGTCTAGGTCTCTGGAGCCTCGACCGACGACCGCCCTCTCAAGGCTGCCAACAAGAGGAGGAGGAGAGAGGAGGAGGAGGAGGAGGAGGAGGAGGAGGAGAGGAGGAGGAGGAGGAGGAGGAGGAGGAGGAGGAGGAGGAGGAGGAGGAGGAGGAGGAGGAGGAGGTGAGGAGGAGAGGAGGAGGAGGGAGGAGGAGGAGGAGGAGGAGGAGGAGAGGAGGAGGAGGAGGAGGAGGAGCAGGATTACCAGGATTACCGTCATGACAGGTGTCATTACTAGGAGGAGGAGGAGGAGGAGGAGGAGGAGGAGGAGGAGGAGGAGAGGAGGAGGAGGAGGAGGAGGAGGGAGGGGGTCTGGGGGGGGGGGCAGGGAAAGTCTATGCCCGCGCCGTCTTTCCTTCTTCTGCCCCATCGGCAAAGCCCGCCTGCGCGTGCGGCGCGGGGACGCAGGCCCGTCGCCGCCGGAGGAGCAGCAGCTGCGGGCACCGCCGCGAGTCCTGGAGGCCTGCGAGGTGCGCGCGCGTTGTGTCGGAGGTGGATCGACCTCCTACCCTGACACGTCGATTAAGGAATTGGCCGTTTTCGGTTCGCGAGAGGACGTCGCGGCCGTCATTTTTGCGGGTCCAGGTCCGTCGGTTTCGGCCCCAGGCCGTTTTCACTAAGGGGAGGTTTACTAAAGGGAGGTTTGTCCACCGCCGATTGTGGGAGAGAGATGAGACGGGGCCCTCCGCGCGGGCTCGCGCGCGTGAGCTTTCCCGCTTGCAGATGGGCTTGTGTCGAGTCCCGAAGGAAGTCGGGCATGTCCCTCTGTAAAGAGAATACTCAAAAGCAGTGAACAAAACAAAATGGGGACGATGCTTCTACTGTTTTCGCTTGGTTTTCATTATTAGGGCGGCGAGGTGAGCGCGCGGTGGGAGAGATAAACGCGGCCCTCTGCCAAGGCTTTCGCGCGTAAGCTGCCTGGAGATCCAGCGCATTGACAAAAGCATGACGGAGGTTTTTCGCCCTTTTCGGCCTCTAGAGGCCCTCGCTGGGCGCGGGACTGTCAAACAAAGACTCGGGATGGAAAACCGGTCCAAGGGAAGCAGGACCTTTCCCCGTGTTGAGAAAAACACGGCGTCGGATCTGTGGGTTCTCGATTCCGGATTGGACTTTCAAGTCCAGGATTCCGGACTCTGGATTCGGGATCCTTGGGGTTCTGCGGTCCAGAGTAATCTCGTCTTCGGATTCGGGACGTTCGATTCGGGCTCTTGGTGTGGCTCTTCGAGGCCAGCATGCTGGACTCGGCCCTCGGGGGGCGAGCACGTGAGCGCCTTCGATTCCAGTAGGGTGTGTCGGGGGTGGACAGGACCCCCAACAGTGAAACGTCGATTAGTGAATTGTCCGTTTTCGGTTTTCGAGAGGGCGCCGTGGCCGTTATTTTCCAGGCTTGCGCCCGCCAGGTCTGGGCCCGAAGTCGTTCTCACTAAACCACGTTTTACTAAAGGGAGGTTTGTCCCTCCCCGAGTGTGCCTGCGCCGGCGGCCCCCGCGTAAGCCGTCGACGTCGCGCCAAGTGCGCTGTGGCGTGCCGCGTCGGCCACCGCTATAGGCCACCGCGTAGGCCCCGGGCCGGTCCAGTGCCGCACCCTCCGCGCGGCGGCTGCCGCGCTCCCGCGGCCGCCGCCGCCACGTCGCGGCGGCGGCGGCCGCGGCGGCCGCCTCGCGGCGGCACCTTCCTGCACGGAGGGTCTCGGCATCGCTCGGGCGTGTGCATGTTTTCCTTCGGCGAGGGCCATCGAGGCGCATCCTTGATCATGTGGCGAGAAAACCACGCACGGAAGCATAAAAACACAGGGAATGGACGTCCGAGCGATGCCGAGGGGTGCGGAAGGGGCAGGCGGGTATATAACCGGGCGGGGCCAGGACGAGGATAAGTCCATTCCAGAGCGTTCGGGAACGCTCTGAGAGGGCCGCGGGGCCCGCTGCATCCTCCAGAGCCGCCAGGTCTCAGAGGTTCTCGATGTATCCCCACCCGAATGCATCCTCGTCCTGGCTTCGCCTTACAGAAGGCGTTCCAAATAGGATCGAAGGAGTTGTCATCTCTTCCTCGGCGGAAGGCGGCGGAAGGTCGGCGAAAGGTGGCAGAAGTGAAACGAGGCCGCCTCCGCCGGCGGAAGGCTGGCGGAAGGTGGCGGAAGTAAAAGATGCGCCCCCAAAAGACGAAAAACGTTTTTGGGTTCAGGGTTTCCGAAGTCGCCCATGTAAACCACCGCGTCGTGATTTTTTCACAACGTCGACCCCCAGAGGTTTGGACCCCTTCCCCGGGGCCGGTTTTTCATCCCGAGTCAGTTTTTTGATGGTTCTGAGGCCCAGTGGTGGCTCCTGGAGGCCGAACATGGGGAAACATTTGTCGTGATTTTTGTCGCGACGCGGGGAGGCCTGAGCTCGTCTTGAATAAGCCACCGCGTGAGACGTGCGTAAGCTTATGTTGCTCCAGTCGTACTTAAGGACAAAATCCTATCAACAATTTCGAGCACCCAGGAGAGTATCGAGACAGTGTCGAACGAGTATCGCCTCCCAGGGCCCGACGCGTGAAAACTATCCAGTTTGGGTACCTTCTTCGTGTTCGAAATCCCATATATTCGATGTCGCGCTTTTCGCAACACGGGGTCCCCGGAAGTCTCGACCCATTCCCCGGGACCAGTTCTTCATCCTGAGTTGTTTTCTGACGGTCCTGGGGCCTGGCGAGGGCCCCTAGAGGCTGAAAAATGTGAAAAACTCCGCCTGGATTTTTTCAATGCGTTGGATCTCTGGGATTCTTTTTGGGGCTCAAGGCTAATCTACAACCCTCCTCAAAATTAACCTCAAACATGTCGGACGTGGTTGAACTGCTTGTCGGAAGATCTGGGGCCGAGTATCGATGAGTGCGGGGTACTTGCATGCGCCGCCCCTCCAATGTCGGTCGACGTCAAACCTTCGAGCCAGCTTCGGTCAGACTATCTCTGCCCTGGCCCCGACATGGAAGGGGCGGCGCGTCGGCATTGAGGGGCGCGCCGAAATCGAAGTGACGTGCCAGCAGCTCTTGAGGTTAGTTTCGACGAGGGCAGTCCCCTTGACGAGGAATTCCAGTGGTGCATCTCTGTCGCCTCCGGGGGGGAATCTGACCGGAGCCCGTTTGGGGTGACGTTAACCCGGCCGGCGTTTTTTTTAGATTTGGCCCATTTCGAGCTCGAGCCTTCATCCAATGGGTGCGGTGAAAACAAAAAATGACGAGGGCAGTAGGCGCATTCTGGGTGGATGCGCCAACCTCCTCTTCCTCCTCCTTTTCCTCCTCCTCCTCCTCCTCCTCCTCCTCCTCCTCCCAATCCCTCTCCTCCTCCCCCCCCCTCTCCTCTTCCTCCTCCTCCTCCTCCTCCTCCTCCTCCTCCTCCTCCTCCTCCTCCTCCTCCTCCTCCTCCTCCTCCTCCTCCTCCCGTTGAGGTTCCTTTTCGGCGAGGGCAGTCGGCGCAGGCCGCCCGCGCCTTCTCAGGTGGAGCTCCCGCTCCGCGGCGGCGGCGGCGAGGAGGCCCGCGGCCTGCTGCTGGTGCGCCTCCTCGGCCTGGGGCCCGCCGCGCACGCCGGCGCCCAGCCGCTGCCCGCGGACCTGCGTCTGTATCCTCCGGGGGGCGGCGGAGGAGGAGGAGGAGGAGGAGGAGGAGGAGGAGGAGGAGGAGGAGGAGGAGGAGGAGGAGGAGGAGGAGGCGGGAGGAGGAGGAGGAGGAGGAGGAGGAGGAGGAGGCCTGGAGGAGGAGGAGCTGGAGGCTGGGAGGAGGAGGAGGAGGAGGAGGAGGAGGAGGAGGAGGAGGAGGAGGAGGAGGAGGAGGCGGGCAATGTCTATATCCACATCTAGTGCGTCTTGGAGTGTCGGACGCTCTTCCCACGAAGCATGCGGCGCACTGGATTGGAGTATCATCTGCCTCCCAAAAGGCCAGATTTTTATCCATCTCCAGTGCGCCTCGGCCTTGCGGCGCCCCTTCCGAGAAAGTCCAAGACGCACTGGATATGGATATAAATATTGCCCGCACAGGGGGCGTCGGCCGACCGCCTGCCAAGAGCCCCTCCCTGACCTGAGGTCGGGCGTGTCCCTCCACTCGGGGGCGGAAAAGAGGGGAGTGACGACTAGGGGGAGGTGGATATCATGGCATGGGCCATGATATTTCCCCAGACTTCATGGCGCCTCTTCTTATTTCATTGCATCACTGGCCTCCCCGCTGGGCCGCGCACATGCCGCCGGTCATGATTTGCACCCCCCGCTCTTGGACACCCCCCTCTTGGCCGCTCCCGATCTACGGGAGGAATATCCAAGAACAGTTCACAAAAATCGTCGGGGGACGATTCTTCCAATCATTTGCGTGACCATGCTTGAATATGTTTGGATTATTCTTCAGCTTTCTTCCAGAATGCACCTGTAGGAGGACATGCCCGACGTAAGCCTGACCTCTTCGTGCTTGTGGGATGTTCTTGCGTGCATCCTGGGGAGGGTGCCCTTGGATGTGCTGCTTGTCTTGGCCAGCGGAGGGCCTCGTGCTCTTGGGGGATGTTCTTCTGGACTAGAGGCCCGACCGTGGGAGGCGGAGCACGCCTGCCTGTTGGAAGGCGCGGGCCTCGTCTGCAGAGGTAGGGCCGGCGCCTTCTAAGATGATGGGCTTGTTTTCCACCATCACCACCATAAGTTGGAGGGGGAGGGGGTCCTCCTCCTCCTCCTCCTCCTCCTCCTCCTCCTCCTCCTCCTCCTCCTCTTCCTCCTACTTATGGTGGTGGTGGTGGAAAACAAGCCCATTATAAGAAGCAGCCTCCCCAGAAACGGCAGGGCCTTCTGTTTCACCGTTTTCGAACATAAGGGCCTCCTGAGCTTGGAAGCAGCTGGAAGAACGGCGACTGGAGACGGCACACAAACGCCCCCATAGGTTTGGCACCGGAACCAGAGCCGGAAGCAACAACGGCGACGGATCCGGCAAGAAAAAACGCGACACGGAGCCCGCAAGCAGACGGCGAAAGGGAGCCGTTAACGAAAAAGGCCCTGTCTTTTCCAGAGCCCACTGACCCTCCCCAGAACCTCAGGAGGTCTTCAGTTTTGATCCCACCCCCCTTCTCACTCGGTTTTGAATCGGGCTGGTCCTAAAACCGCTTCTTCCTCCTCCCCCCTCAATCATAGTCGTAGCTATCGTCGTCGCCGTTGTTACGCGGCGGGTATCGCGAAGCAAAATTATGAATTACCCCCTGTTGGTGGAGCCCCAGTCCTCCAATAAGGCCGCCTACAAAAATATTCAGTTGTCCCCTATTGGGGGGTTTGTAGACTTATCGCAGTTACTCCCCAGACCCCCGACGTCGTGATCTTTTCACAACGTTGTCCCCCAGAGGTTTGGACCCCTTCCCTGGGACCAGTTTTTCGTCCTGAGTCATTTTTTGACGGTCCCGAGGCCTGGGAGGGCTCCCAGAGGCCGAAATAGCGAAACCCTCCCGTCGTGATTTTTTCAACGCGAGGGGGTCTGGGATTGGTGGAGGGGTCTAAAGACTTCTCGCGGTTTGCTCCCTTGCCCGCGCCGCCAGCGAGGATTGGGCCAGCGGCGTGGACGAGCTTGGGCTGCCGTTCCGCTACAGGTCGGCCACGCGCAGAGGGGGGTAGGGGGAGGGGGGAAGGCTTCTGAGAAGCACCCCTGCTTCTTAGAAGGCGCGGGCCTTCTCTATACATGTAACGCTGGCGCCTTCTCAGAAGCATCCATCTTCTAAGAAGCCTTCCCCCCCTCCCCTACCTCCCCCCCATAGATCCGACGTCGTGATTTCTCCATACGGGGTCCCTGGAAGTCTCGACCCATTCCCCGGGACCGGTTTTTCATCCTGAGCCGTTGTTTGCCCCTAGAGGCCGAAAACTGCTCAAAACTTCCGTGTTGTTTAGTCAATGCGTTGGATATTTGGGCCTGCGCGCCGCCAAGCATCGAGGAGGGGATCGGCTGCAGCATCGATCTGCCCCAGAATCCATCTGCTCATCGAGTCCTACGCAGCACGCCCGTAGACCCACGAGCACCCTACGAGTCCCTCACGGATGCGACGACCAGATGACTTCTGGGGCACATCAGTCCTGCAGTCGATCCCCTGCCCGACCACAGGGGCTGCGGGGGCCAAGCCGGCGACGCGCCCGCGGAGGCCGCCGCGGCGCCGCACGGCGGCGCGGAGGAGAGCGCGGCGAGCGCGGAGGGCGCCGAGGGGCGCTCGCCGCGCCGCCCGGAGCACCGGGAGGAGCCGCCCGCGGGAGGGCCCGCTCTCCCAGAGCTCCCGGCGCGGGGAGGGCACAGTCACGGCGGGGAGGCTTCTCATGATCTGCGGCCTCCGAGGGCCCTCCTCCTCCTCCTCCTCCTCCTCGTTCTCCTCCTCGTTCTCCTCCTCGTTCTCTTCCTCGTTCTCCTCCTCGTTCTCCTTCTCGTTCTCCTCCTCCTGCCCCTCCTCCTCGTCCTCCTCCTCCTCCTCCTCCTCCTCCTCCTCCTCCTCCTCTACCTCCTCCTCGTTCTCCTCCTCGTTCTCCTCCTCCTCGTCCTCCTCCTCCTCCTCCTCCTCCTCCTCCTCCTCCTTCTCCCTCTCCTTCTCCTCGAGGGCCACTGCGGTCGGCGCCACACCTTGACCCAGACCTCCTCGCGCTGGGGAACATGCACGACGGGAGGTGTTTCGCTCTTTTCGGCCCCGGGTGCCCTTCCAGGGCTTCGGGACTTCAAACAACACGATTCGGGGACGAAAAACCAGTCCTGGGGAAGGGGTCCAGACCTCTGAGGGTCGACGCTTAGGAACCGCCCGCGGGAGGGCCCATCTAGGAAAGCGCGCCAGTGGATGGCCCTGACTACACAAAGGGGGGGGGGGGGGCTCGCAGAACCCCCCCCTCCCCCCCTTCAAAGGAGGGGTGAGATTTTCGACCCCCCCCCCTCCCCCCTTAAAGGGGGTTCCGACCCCCCCCCTCCCCCCCTTGAAGGGGGGGGGTCCAGACACCCCCACCCCTTCTGGCGCTGGAAAGGGGGTGGTGGTTCGACCCCCCCCTTCCCCCCTTTGCGCCGAACAGGGGGATGGGGAGGGGGCCTCTCGGGTAATGAGTAGAGAGTAGAGTATTTTGAGTAGCGATTGGTGAGCGGTGGGTATATGATAGTGAGTAAGTAGTACGCAGTGAGTCGTAAGTAGTGCATAGTGCGTAGTGGGTAATGGGTAGTGGTAGTAGTGAGTAGTGCGTAGAGATTAATGAGTAGTGAGTAGTGGGTACTGAGTAGCGGAAGGAAGTAGAGAGTAAGGAATGTTGAGTCGTGAGTAGTGAAGAGTGAGTAGTGTGTAGAGAGTAGTGCATAGTGAGTAGCAAGCAGGGAGTAGGGATGAGGGAGTAGACAGTAGCGAATAGCGAATAGCGAGAAGTGAGTCGTCAGTAGTGAGTAGTGAGTAGTGCGCAGTGAGTAGAGAGGAGTGAGTAGTTAGTGGTGAGTAGCGAGTAGCGAGTAGCGAGTAGGGAGTAGCGAGTAGGGTAGTGAGTAATGAGTAGCGAGTAGGGCCTCGTGAGTAGTGAGTAGTGAGGAGGGAGTAGTCAGGAGCCAGGAGAGAGTAGTGAGTAGGGAGTAGTGCGTAGCGAGTAGGGAGTAGCGAGTAGGGAATAGTTCGTAGTGAGTAGTGAGTAGGGAGTAGTGAGTAGTGAGTAGTGGGTAGTGAGAAGCGAGAAAGGGGTATTGAGTAGTGGGTAGTGAGTAGGGAGTTGCGAGTAGAAGTTAGTGAGTAGTGAGTAGAGAGTCGTGAGTAGTGAGTAGTGAGTAGTGAGCAGCAACTTGCGACTAGTGACTAGTGAGTAGGGAGTCGGGAGTAGTGAGTAGCGAGTCGTACGTAGTGGGTAGTGAATATTTCGTATTGGGTAGTGAGTAGCGGACAGTGGGTAGTGAGTTGTGGGCAGTGCGTAATGCGTAGTGAATTGTGAATACTCAGTAGTAAGTAGTGGGTAGTGAGTAGTGCGTAGTGAGTAGTGAGTAGTGGGCAGTGAATAGTGTTTAGTGAGTAGTGCGTATTGAGTACTGGGTAGTGAGTAGTGAGTAGTGCGTTGGGAGTAGTGAGTAGGGAGTAGGAAGTAGTGAATAGGGAGTAGTGGGAACGTAGTGAGTAGTGAGTAGTGGGTAGTGGATAGTGCGTATCGGGAAGCGAGTAGGGCGCTGGGATTAGCGAGTAATGAGTAGTGAGTACTGTGTAGGGAACAGGGAGTAGGGAATTGCGAGTAGCGAGTCGTGGAAAGTGAGTAGTGAGTTGTGGGCAGTGAGAAGTGAGTCGTGAAGTGTGAGTAGTGGATCGTGGTTAGTGGGTAGTGAGTAGTGATCTGTGACTACTGAGTAGTGGGTTGTGAGCTGTGTTTAGTGCGGAGTGAGTATTGAGTAGTGGGTAGTGAATAGGGAGCTGTCTGTAGTGAGAAGTGAGTAGGGAGAAGGGAGTAGTGAGTAGTGGGTAGTGCGTCGTGGGTAGTGAGTCGTGAGTAGTGAGTAGTGAGTAGTGAGAAGTGAGTAGTGAGTAGCGAGTAGTGAGTTGTGGGTAGTGAGTAGTGCATAATGAGTAGTGAGTGCTGTTTGGGGCTACGCGTTGGGTTTGGGGTTGGGGTTGGGGGTTAGGGTAAGGGTGAGGATTGGTGTTAGGGGTGGTCGGGGTCGGGTTCCGGAGACGGGGGGCGCCGTGGCGAAACGGGGGGGGGGAGGGGTTCGAATTTGGCGGCCAAATGGGGAGAGGGGGGGGGGTCGGAACCCCCTTCCCCCCGTTTTGAAAGGGGGGGAGGGGGGGGTTCCCCGACGACGGACCGGGAAAGGGGGGGAGGGGGGGAGGGCGGTCCCCGACGACGGATCGGGAAACGGGGGGGGGGTCCCGACGGGGGGGAGGGGGGTGGAGGGTCCCGACGACGGATCGGGAAAGGGGGGGAAGGGGGGGTCCCCGACGACGGATCGGGGAAAGGGGGGGGGGTCCAACCCCCCCCCCCCCCCTTGGGGTCATCCAGCGGCGCGCCCTCCCCATCTAGGCCTCTTTGATGGGGTCGGAGCATATGGGTGGGGTCGAAGGATCGCGCCGCATCGCCGATGCATCGCCGATGCGGCTCGATGTGGAGCCCGATTGTCGCCGATGTGTCGCCGACGTCGAGGATGCGTCGCCGGTGCATCGCCGATACATCGGTGATGCATCGCCGATGCATCAGCGATGCGGCGCGATCCTCCGACCCCATCCACTCGGACCCCATCTAGGAGGCCTCTGGCCCGTAATCCCAGGCCTTCCCGCGCTGTGAAAAATCACGACGGGAGGTTTGTCGTTAGTTTCGGCCTCCGCGGGCCCTTTCCCGGCCCAGGGACCGTCAAAAAACACGACTCAGGACGAAAAACCGGTCCCGGGGAAGGGGTCAAGACCTCTGAGGGTCGACGTTGCAAAACAAATCACGACGTCGGGGGTCTGGGATCTCGGCTGTTCCTCGGCCCGACGAGGCCCTTCCCGAACCTTCGGCGCCGTGACCTTGGCCACGGCTTCCCTTCGTGCCACGGGAGGACCCGCTGAAGATCGGGCCCCTCCCAGGGTCCATCTCGGGCGCCCTAGGAAGGGCCATGCCTTCGAGGATCGAAGGAGCTATCATCTCTTACTCGGCGGAAGGTCGGCAGAAGGCGGCGGAAGTTCAAGATGTCCCCCCAGGGATTGCAAACGTTTGTGGTTTCGATGCTGATGATGCTAATGATGCTGATGATGACGAGGATGATGATGATGGTGGTGATGATGATGACAATGTGACGGTGGTCATGATGTTGACTATGATGGTGTTGATGATGAGTATGATTATTATTACGATGATGATGCTGGTGAAGATGGTGCTGATGATGCTGATGATGCTGATGATGCTGATGCTGATTCTGATGATAATGTGTTGATGTTGATGATGATGTGCCCCCAAGAGATGAAACAAACACATATTTTGGGTTCAAGGTTTCTGAAGTCGCCCACGTGGCGCGGGCTCCGGCAGCGGCGCCCCAACAATTTCGGAGGTTGACGACGAGAGGGCACGAGCACATTTTTGTCTCTAGGCGTCCACCCAGAACATTCTTCCTGAATAGGGACATTCTTGCAACGTTCCAATAGGGAAATATTCGGAATCATAAAAAAACTGGTTCCCTCTACAGGAAACTATAGGGACGTTGCCTCGTCGGTCACAAAAGCTCTTCCCCTCTACAGGAAGAAAGTTCAAAAAGACAGCACCAGGGCCCCCAGGCAGCGAGCACCAGGGCCCCCAGGCCCAGAGCCCCCAGACAGCCACCCAGACAGCCGCCAGCACGAGGGCCCCCAGCTCAGCAGAGCACCAGCACGAGGGCCGCCAGCCAAATGTACAGCACGAGCACCAGGGGCCCCAGGCAGCCACCCAGATATACGCCCGCGCCACGACGAAAGACACGCCGGGTGGCCTTCGCCCGTCTTCGGCCTCCGGCGGCCGGGCCGGGCCGTCAGCACAGCGAGCGGGGAGGCAGAGCCAGCCCGGGGGAAAGCGTCGGGCCTTCGGGGATCCCGAAGTCAGAATCTGCACGAGCGAAATCGGCACGGAGAGAATGTGTACTTTGCCCAACAGCGGACCCAGTCCATTTTGAACAGGACTCGCTGTCCGAGCCGCCGCGGCCTGTGTCCATTCGAGACAGAAGGCCGCCTGCCCAACAGCGGCCGCTGTTGGTTTTGGGACAACCTTTGTTGTTCGGCATTGTACCCATTTTTTCCATTTCGGGCGCCCAAAGAAGTCAAAAGTCGGGACGCTGCATGGCTGGGGATATATCCAGCTCCGTGGTGTTTTCCCTGAGATCGGGGCGTTGCATTTTTCCCGGGAAGCGCTTTGGCCCAGGGTTTTATTTTAGTAGGTAGAGTGTCTCCGGTGCTGAGTTCGAAGAGGGCTGGCACATTTTCTCTTTGATGAATAGCGAGGTCGAAGGGGACCGGCGGATTAATGCTGAGGATGTCCCGAGCGAAACGCTTTAAGCAAAAGACAGCTCACAAGAACCCCAAGGCGGCCCGAGGAGGGCCAAGAAGGCCCCAATAGACTCCCGGGAGCGCCCCAGGAGGCCCCCAAACGGCCCAAGAGAGCCGCAAGACGGCCCAAGATGGCGCCGAGACGGCCTTAGAAAGCTCCCACAGAATCCCACGACGCGCCCAGACGGCCCAAGAAGACTCCAGAAGCCCATAAGAGGACCCAAGGGGCCCCCAAGAAGCCCCCAACAGGCCCAAAGACAACCCCGCGCGGCGCCA